CTGGTAGCTTTAGTGTGGTCTTGTTTGTAAACATTTGGGTAAATGCCCAAAAGTGGGATTGCTGGGTCATAGGGGAGTTCTATGTGAAGTCTTTTCAGGAACCTCCATACTGCTTTCCAAAGTGGTTGAACAAGTTTACATTCCCACCAACAATGAAGTAAGGTTCCTTTCTGTCTCAGTGCTTTGTTTTTGTAATACAGATGCTTGCTCTTTAAGCCCCAGCCCCCAAAGCCTCTTTTGCTTCGTCTTTTGTACAAGGTCTTGAACTTTTGCCTAGGCCTCTCTTAAAATACAATTTTCCTCTCAGTATCTCCCGTATAGCTTTGTTTACAGGCAAGTGATATTACTATCTTTGCCTGTGCTGCCCTCAGTGAACCTTCTAGGTAGCTAAGATTACAGGTGTATACCACTATGCCTGGCCTTAATTTTTATTTATTTTAAAGAAAAAATTTAAATATACTCGTATAAAATAGTTTTAATAGATGCAAGACATATGTTAGATCACAGGAAGAAACATATTGCAGAGCAAAGAGTGGCTCCACTTGATCTTTATTTAAATCCTAGCTACTCAGGAAGCTGAGATCTGAAGATCACAGTTCAAAGCTGCCTAGGCATGAAAGTCTGTAACATTCTTTTCTCCAGTTAACCACCAATAAAATGGAAGTGTAAGTGGCTCAAGTGGTAGAGATCTAATCTTGAGCACAAAAGTTTAGTATTGGTGCCCAGGCCCTGAATTCAAGCCTAATTACCAAAAAAAGAAGAAAAAAAAGATATTGATTCTTATTTCATGATGTAGATATCATGTACTTACTTTTCATTTTTAGTTTTTGGCCACACTGAGGTTTGAACTCAGGACCTTATATTTGCTAGAGACATTCTACCACTGCATCATGCCTCCAGCACTTTTCTACTTTATTTTTCAGATAGGATGTGCACTATTTTCCCAGGGCCAACCTCAGAGATCTTCCTAGTAGGGATAGCAGGCACATTCCACCATACTTATAGACTGAGGTGGAGTTGCACAAAGCTTTTTCCCCTCAAGATGTCCTCCATTCGTAATCCTCCTAATCTCTACCTCCCACGTAGTTGAGATTGGAAGTGGGAGTTTCATGCCTAGTCTTATACATATTTTTAAACATACACATGCCCAAGACCCCATCTTTGAGATTGATTTTGGTCCTAAGATAGGTTTTGTAATGTGGGGGCTTTTGTGCAGTTTTTAATTCTTTAGCTTATTCTGACAGAGTCAAGTTCAAGAAGTTCTGTTCTAGATAACAAGTACTCCAGTAAAGACTTTAATCTATTGAATATGGTCTCTAAAACTATCTGAAAGTTTTATGATTTTAGGAGTTTTGAAGATCCTGTTCTATTTGATTTCATGGCTTGATAATAAACATGATTTGATAAGTATTTTTAAATCACTAGGCTGAATTAGAAAAACTTAAAGCTCATCTTGGACGTCAGTTGAGTATAAACTATGAATACAAGAACAAAGGCACAGAGAAAATTGTTGCTGAAAATGAAAGGCTTTGTAAAGAACTTAAAAAGGTATGACCTTTATGACTAATGATTTTTATTTTTATTAAGTAGTAGTAGATATTAGAAAAACTGCTTAGAATATCTATTCAAAATAGATAGGAAGAGACTTAGGAATTTGTTTCTAATGCTTGCCATCATTTATTCTTTCCTCATGAGGGACCTTGGTAAGTTAAAAAAAAAAAAGAATTGATGAATTTAGAGTGAGCATAATGTAGAATCTCCTTACTCTGCATTCACTTCTTAGTTCTGTTATTGATTAGTCATAGGAATTAGGGCAAGCTGCTTAATCTCTTTCTTTTCCGTAGTTCCTTTATGTATAAAATTGGGAATAAAAAATATTCCTTTCTCGTAGCTGAATATGTTCTATACCTCTAAGCCTAGAACTCCCTTAGGTGGTAAAGAATCTTGAACTTAAGATCCAGCCTTGATATGTACTGATTTCAAGGCCAGCATGGGATGCTTTGTGGGACCCTGTATCCAAAACATTAAAAAAAAAATCTGTGTGTGAGAGTCTGTATATTTACATATATATATATATATACATATGTATGTCTATTTATAAATACATTATATATACAGATAAATAGATATCTAGATATCTACTTACCTCAGCTGATTCTATGAGGCTTAATTTAAGTAAATTAATATTCTGTCACATAACTTAGAATAGTAATGGACAAATAATTGCTTTTGTTAAACAGTAAAATTTCTTTCAACTTAAATGGCAAAACATATTACTTGCTCCATATAGCTATTACTATTTATATTATCTAGTGAATGAATTTAAATTAATATTTTAAACTAAAATTTCAAGGGTATCTAAATATATTATGAGTGTAGAATAATTTTTGTGTCTTGAATGTGGATATTTAATAGTGGAAATAAGCTATATTTCTTACATAGGGTTTATTTGTAGCTTTTGATTTGTGGTGTTAGGAATTCAAAACAGAATCTTTTAAGCTGTAAAGAAATAAACTTTCCCATTATTCTGAAAATATTACAGAGAAACAAATTTTAAGTAACCACTATATTGAAATACTTGTAAATGCATTTTTTACTTCCTTTGCATTATCTTTTGTCCTAGCTATTTGCTGTTTTAGAGAAGAGAAAATACTGAATTTTTATTGTAGCTTTTTAATCAGCATGTAAAACTCAGATTAATTTTTGTTTTCTGCCTTGTAGTGATAATTTTAAATACATTGTAACTATGAAAACAGTATTATGCTTTCTCATAATATGCTAATTAACTTGTACTGATAGGAAACTGAAGCTTCAGAGAAACTGCGGATAGAAAAGAATAATTTAGAGATACTAAATGAGAAGATGGCAGTTCAGCTAGAAGAGACTGGAAAGAGATTACAAATTGCAGAAAGTAGAGCTCCACAGCTAGAAGGTGCTGACAGCAAGAGCTGGAAGTCAATTGTTGTTACAAGGTAGGAACAAATAGTTTAAAATTGTACATAGAGTTTAATCAGTTCTGATTATGGGCATTGTTGGCTTTAAAGTTGATTCTGTCCTATATAACCTACTTTTTCCCAGATAGAGCTTGTTTGCTTATTTTAATATAATACTTTCATTCTTTCCAGCATTGCCCAAACTATTTTTAAATGTGTAGCTAGTTTTGGTGGCAGGCCACAGAATGGAGCAGAGCTAGGGGTAGGCTAAGGCCTTTGGAACTAGGTATGCAACACAAAGCAACCACTTAGACCTGCCTGAACTTAATGCGGCTGTCTCCTCCATATCCCCTCTGCATGCTGTTTTTCCCTACTTGCAACCTCAGCTTCTTGAGTGTGTTCATTTTTTACTCCAAGTATAAGCCAGAAACTATTGGAGATAGAGAAGTGTAGATTTAGGGAAATCTGGAAATCAAAAATCAAAAAAGTCTTACCTCTGTCAAGAAGTTTCTGCTCAACAGGTGTGATGATACATTTATCAAATTCAGGTGCCATTCTTGTTTATGATGTTGGGGAACACCTAGATCTTCTTTTTTTTTTTTTAAAAAACACCTAGATCTTCTATCTTAATTAGTGCATTTGTGATTTGGGGATAATTGTACTTTACTATTATCTTTTAATACTAAATATACAGCTAAATGGTTGACTAAGAAACAGGATTCTTGCCTCTTTTAGCATAATAATTTGAGCTTTTAAATCAGAGAAATTCTATGTCATGTCTGTAAGATATTTCTTTATTTTTTTAGAATGTATGAAACAAAGTTGAAAGAATTGGAAACTGATATTGCCAAAAAAAATCAAAGCATTACTGACCTTAAGCAGCTTATAAAAGAAGCTACAGAGAGAGAGCAAAAAGTAAAGAAATACACAGAAGACCTTGAACAACAGGTATGTTAATATAAATTTTCTTTATAATGTATCATCAGATATGCTTTGCCTTGTCTAAGAAATGAAGTAACTATTTTCACTACTTGAATGTCCACCTAATCTGATGGTTTATACTCTAATCATCCCTTTTTTTAAGCCAAGAACTGTAGATCATCATTGACTTCATTCTGTCATTCCTTACGTTTTTTATTATTGTTGCCTCAGCTGTATTTTCAAATGTATTCCACATCTACTTCTCAGCAACTCCGTCACTAGCATCCATATATGAGCCACTACCTCAGATCTGCACAAATGCAGTAATGCCCTAACTTGTGTCTCATGCCCCACTCCTGCATCACTTCTTCAAACACTAGTCTGTTCTCTACATGGTTGTCATGTAATACTTGTAAAGCATAACAAAAATTACAGCAGTCCTATTCTCAGAATCGTCAAATGGTTCTCTATCACCCTAGAATAGAACTTCATAATACAGTTTTGGCCAAGCCTGTAAGTATGGGCAGGCATGTTCTTACAGATAATTTTCTTGCCAAGTCTCATCTATTACCACCTTTTCCATTATTTAGTGTTTAAGTTAAATTAGCTTTCCAGTCCATTGAATAAACCACTCATTTAAGCCTCAAAGCTGTGTACTTGCTTCCTGAGTTTGGAATACTACTCATCCAATATTCTCCTGCACTTAATGTCTTGCTTAAATGGAGGCTTCTCAGGGAGACCTTCCCTAAGCTCTACTCCACACAACCTTCCATCACACTCGACCTTCTACACATTGGCATTGCTGTCACATCACATTTTATTACATGCTAAAGTTGCCTGTCTTCTCTCACTAAAAATGTACAAAGGAATTCTGATGAGTTTGTTCACTGCTCTGTCCTCTGTAGGACAATCCCTGTCTTGAAGTAGTTAAGTACTTGATGATTGTTGAATGAATGGCAAATAAAACACAAATGTGATTATTTCATGCTTATGAATACACAAATTTTAGTAATATTTAATATAATGAATAATTATTGAGTATTAAGAATTAATATGATTATTTAATATGATTGTTTAAAATATTGTCCTTGTTAAATGTATTGTTATTATTTAAAATTGTTTAAATTATTTTCATGCTAATCTTTAAAGTGTTTTTATTGTGCCCAAAGATTGAGATTCTCAAGCATGTTCCTGAAGGTGCTGAGACAGAACAAAGTCTTAAACAGCAGCTACAAATTCTTAGGTATGATACATGTTCATGTGACTACTTTGCCTTTTTCTGTCCTCTTTATCATTTTTCATTGCTATAGCTGAGACTAGCATTTTTTAGTCGGTTAGTTTTGTATTTCATCCTTATAATGTCATTCACATTCTCTAGCTACTGTAAAAGGGTAAGAACAATGCAATACAAGTTTCCAATTTGTAATTTAGTTTAAATTTTGCTAACATGGAAAGAAATAAGCAGTGGCTTCCCAGAGGAAAATACTTATGAAAGCGCAAAGAAGTAATTCTTTACCTCCGGGAAATGCTGTTTACTTTTTTGGGAAGTCTTTTTTTTTTTTTTTATTGTGAAAATACCGTACGGAGGGGTTACAATTACATGAGCAAGGTAATGAGTACATTTCTTATCAAGCATTGTTGCCTCCTCTTTTGTTTCCCCTTCCCATCCATTCCCATCCCTCACCCCAACCTGCGCCAAAGTTGTAAAGTTCATTTTTTGACCTAACGTCTTGTACATCTCATTGTTGCAATGGGTCCACCTGTATCCCTAGTTAAACAATTTGTTTTTTCCCTTCTCCTCCCCAAATTATACGAACATCAAATACAGTGAAAATGGGTTTTACCGTGGGGGAGGGACATACAAAGCAACAAAGAAATCATCTTATAAATATGTTAGAAACAGTAGCAAGGCTGGGAAGGTGGCTCAGTGGTAGAGTGCTTGCCTTGCATGCATGAGGCCCTGGGTTCGATTCCTCAGCGCCACATAAGCAGAACAACAACAACAAAAAGAAACAATAGCAAGAAAGAAAAACCATTTGAGTTCTTATCTTAGGGTTCATTTCACCTAACATCAACTCATCTGACCGTTTCTGCTTGCCTCAGACATATACTAGTTATTGCAAATAAGGGAAACCATGGGACCTATGTTCAGGAAATTACTCCTAAAAAACACATCGTTATGAAAAACAAGAGGTTGGATTCTATGCTGTTTGCTAATGGGAGGAATTGAAGCTTAAACATTTTCCTTGTTAAATACTATATGTATTGAATACTGCACATCAGTCACTTATAAGAAATGCCTATGTTCAGAATAAAAGCCTGTAGTTCTTTGTCAAAAAAAAGGAAGATAAAAAAAGGAATGCTCATGTGTTTTATAAAGCAATATCTGTTTTACTTGTGTTTCTGTTTTTAACAAGCCACCATTGTATTCTAGATTAGCAAATAGTCAACTGGATAAAGAAAAAGCAGAATTAATTCATCAGATAGAAGTTAACAAAGACCAGAGTGGAGCTGCAAGCACCATACCTGGTAAAATATTTTATAAGACTTATTAACTACCCTAAGTTTATTAATTAGGGATTGCTCTTTCTGTTGTTTAAATTTCTGATTCTTATAAAATCAAATCACTTATATGAAGTTTTAGAGCTGTCATCTCTCCATACTTTACATCTCTAATTAGTTGTTTATACTAAGTAGCAAGTACATGTATTTTTCTCCTTGTGTCCCATGTACATTTTATAGATTTAATCACAGTGCATACTAAATCTGTTGCTTCTGATGTTTAAATAGGCTATTTTTAATCCCTCTGAACATTTTTTTTCTTAAATGTTTATCTCTTGCTGTTTTGTTATTAATTTTAAAAACTACAGCTCATATTATCTAATTTTTTTCTATGAAAAATCTGTCTATTCCCATTCCTATTTAGACACTAATCATTCTCTTCCAGTATGCATATTTACACACACCTGTATAAATATATATATTTGTAAAGCTGGGCGCTGGTGGCTCACGCCTGTAATCCTAGCTACTCAGGAGGTTGAGATCTGAGGATCGCGGTTCAAAGCCAGCCTGGGCAGGAGAAACCGTGAGACTCCTACCTCCAATAAACCACCAGAAGACTGGAAGTGGCGCTATAGCTCAAGTGGTAGAGTGATCGCCTTGAGCTGAAGAGCTGAGGGACAGCGCCCAGGCCCAGAGTTCAAGCCCCACAACTGACAAAAAAAAAAATATATATATATATATATATATTTGTAATATATACATATGTATAAAGTATATATGTGTGTATGTATATATACCTGTGTCCTTGTTTGCAGGTTTTGTTGCCAAATTCATGAGCCCTAAAAATCAACATTTAAGCTGTTTTTTAAAATATATGCAATGAAAACATTTGAATATAATTCACATGTTTCCACCTGAGGGTCCAACAAGGCAGTGCTTGACAGTTTTGGTTCAGTTTTCATAGACATGATCCACAATGGGCACCACAGCAAAGCAGTCATTAGATCTGGGGCAATTTGGAAAGGGATTGAATTTTGTTAAAGGGACAGCTTCAGTAAAGTCACTTAACATTTTTTTTGGGGGGTCCAGTCATGGGGCCTGAATTCTGGGCCTGGGCGCTGTCCCTCAGCTCTTCAGCTCAAGGCTAGCGCTCTACCACTTGAGCCACAGCGTCACTTCCGGCTTTTTTCTGTTTGCTTATGTGGTGTTGAAGAATCGAACCCAGGGCCTCATGCATGCAAGGCAAATGCTCTACCACGAATCCACCTTTCCAGCCCCAAGTCACTTAACATTTTTGAGCCTTGTTTTTCCATCTTGTAATATAGAGACTACCAAGATGAGCTGATGAGCTGATTTTAAGATTTAAGATAATTTGTGTGAGATGTGTTTATCCATGTATGTTCGAATACTACTTTCCTCTAGGAATAATAGTTTGATAATTTACAAATTGCTTCTGCCAATAGTATAGGCTATAACTAGTGCAAATAAATAGGATATACACAATATATTCATTATATAGGTATATACATAATAAATTATAAAATATAATTTATAGGATAAATTATATAGTATATATATTGTATGCATAAGATTCTATGCACATAAGTATATGGATATTTTCTTGAGGATGTCACAAAACTGGACTCCTACCATACTTCTAGTTTATTGGCTTTAACAATTTATCATGGACAGCTTTTTAAACTATCATAGACATCTTTTGAAGTCTATGAATAAATTTTTCTTTTAATCTATATTTTATTGCATTTATGTAACTGGGCAATTTGCCTTTTGATATTTAGTAAAGATGCAAATTTCTGATATTGTAAATTAACTCTTTAATGAACTTCCTGAACTAATTATGCCATTACTTGATAATTCAGTGGAAGTGCCAGATTCTGCCCTACAGAATTATAGCAATTTATTGCTGAGCAGGCTTTGACTATTTCATATGCTTATTCATTATTTTACCATGTCATTCCAATCTACTTCTAGTATGTTGTGTAGTGTTGACATTTGAACTCAGAACCTTACATTGCTAGAACAGTTGCTTTTCTGCTGAGCACCCTCCAGCCAATTTTTGTACTGGTTAGTTTTGAGGTAGACTTTTGCTTCCCCAATCACATAATTAGACTACAATCTGCCTATTTTAGGTTTCCCATCATATCTGGTGTTATAGGTGCACACCTATGTTGAGGTGGAGTTTTGTAGACTCTTCCTCCCAGGCTGATCTAAAACCAAGATACATTCTCAGACTAATAGAAAGTTTGGATTGCACCCAGCCCTGGGTTGAGAAGGCATCTCAAACTTTTATGCTTAGGCTGGCCTTGAACCATAATCCTCCCATTTTAAGCTTTCCAAGTAACTGGGCAAGCGCTACTGACACCCAGCTATGTTTTGTGGTACTAGAGATGGAACTCAAGGCCTCATATGTGCTAGGCATAGTGTTCTACTATTTAAGCCATGCTCCTGGCTAAATGCCAAGCCCTTTTGCTTGTATTTTTGTTTTGGGGATAGGGGTCTAGATAACTTTGAACTCACTTAAACAGCTGATTCTTCTGCATCTGCCTTTCTAGATAGGCTTGCATGACCATGTATGAGTGTATGAGTCGTTCATATATGCTTTTACTAGACATAATGCTAAATTCTTCATATTGTATTTTATTCCAGTAGTCCTGTAGGATGAGTAATGTTGAATACTAAGCTGTCCCGTTGAATATGTAATAAGTTATCCCCAAGATCATGACAGCTAGGAAGTGGCCAACGGCTGATTAAAACTTAATTGAAACTTGAAGCTCCTTCCTGTTCCCTACTCAATCACTATTCTACACTGCCTCTTTGTAGTTAAGCTGAAATTTATCCAGTAGCAGTCATGTGTACGGGACTAGAAAGTAAATTCCCTAGCTTTTCTAATTTTGTTTCTTATTTTTCTTTTCTGTCTCCAAGTTACATTCAGGGAACCATTCCATGAATGCCTTAATACTTATTTGAGACAGGATAATTTTGCCTATTATTTTTTCAAACTTTAGCATTCAAAACAATTTACCTTCAGGATTATACAGAGTGACCTGACACCTTATACGTAGGGTTGAATGTACAGACATGTGGGGCAAAGATGACATTAAAACACAAGGTTTATTTCATTGCTAGTTCTTGCTATAAAAATGGAAGTATGTTAACTTGTGGGGAGAGTCCAAGAAATGAAAATCTTTTTCTTATACTTGTGGATGTATCAGAGTTGCACCTTATTTGTGTGTCACACCACTTGTCCTGGGTGTTGTGCCCATAGAAATTGAAAAATGAATGTGAACTGACCTATTGCTATGTTAAGGAATTTACCTACTCTGCCTTTCTTTTGCTGTACATTTATGTTTGACAGACTTTACTGGCTGAAGCATTTTTCTGTAAAAAGAATTTGTATTATGTAAAAAATTAGCCTTATTCTATATGTTAGTACATATGGGATAACTTTTCTGTTGTTGCTTGCCATGGAATTCTATACCTAAAAGAGGTTGTACATAGAATTCACTTTCTGAAACAAATGCTAACACTAAGCTAATATGTTTATGCTTCAAAATAGAAACCCTTCTCTTAAAGTTATTCAGGGTGAAAAAATCTGTTTAATTTTTATAATGTTTTGGCAGGTGCTGATCAACTAAAAGAAGAGATAAAAGATCTAGAAACACAGCTAAAAGTGTCAGATCTGGAAAAGCAACATTTAAAGGTAATTATTTGCGTGCATTTTGTGAAAACAGCTGTGGAAAACTATTTTTATGATCAACATCTTTGAGTTTAAAGTAAATATTCTAAAAAATTGTAGATTTACACTTTTTAGGTAGGATAATTTTAGCTTAATATTAAGAAGGGTGTTATGTTCGTCTGTGGTAAAAGCTTCTTAAATAAGACCTAAAAAAATTCTGACAAGACAAAATAGGATTCAAGAGTAAATTTATTTCTTAATTAACAAATATAGTTCTTTACAATTTTTTAAAATACTTTTTGAATATAAATTTAGGAACTTGCTGGTAACAGTGTATGTCCAGATGCCTAGCATAGGCAGAAGTCCCATGGTTTTTCTGATAAGTGTGTAAGTAAAAAGTTGGTCACAATTCATTAAGTATTGTTTACAAAGAAAGTATGATGAAGGCTTAACAAAAAAAGTATTGAACAGAATAACTTCAGGGTTATAAATATCCAAGTCTCTTGATTGTCTCTTTCATGGCACCTGGTATGCTTATCATAATCTAGAGTTAATAAATTTTAAAGACTAGAACAGAACTTGCAGAATGAATCATTTGTCAGTTAATAGGCTACTTATACTGTACAATGGGATAATATTAACAAAATCTTAAGAAAATACTTATGCCTATAGTTATATAATTTGGCTTTTATGTTTATAACTATACTCTTTAATTCACATTTAAAGAATGTATTCTGGTATATAATTTTTAAAGATAATCTGTTCCTATTAGGATGAAATAAAAAAGCTCAAAAAAGAATTGGAAAACTTTGATCCTTCATTCTTTGAAGAAATTGAAGATCTGAAATATAATTATAAAGAAGAAGTGAAAAAAAATATTCTCTTAGAAGAAAAGTTAAAAAAACTTTCTGAACAATGTGGAGTTGAATTACCTAGCCCTCTTGATGCTTCTGAACAATCTGAAGGTGAAGAAAGTCCTGACAATTTCCCTATATATTAAGGATCACATATAAATATAGTTTTATTTGTTTTATAAGTTAAATCAGGTTTTGAAGTAGAGAATTTCCTTCTCAATACCTTATACCTTGACTTAAATGGGAGTTTTAGTAATTAGAATTAAAAAATTTGAAGACTTCAGAATAAGTTATAGCCATAAAACAGGCAGTGAACTATCCAAATTTGTCTACATTCATAATGTCTTAGGTTTTAAAAGTATGAGGAGAAAAAAAATGGGAGTTTTATATATTCTTAATTTATGTATGTGTTAAGATTTTCAGATCCTATCTATAATAATAAAATATGGTTGCATTGACATTTATATACATTAAATTATAAGGTTAAGCCTTTGTACAGGTTTACTGATCACTATATTTTTCTGTATAGAGGTTAAAATTAATCTGTGGATTTAAATAAATATTTGAATATGTAACTTCTTTGCATGGTGGAAGACCCTGGTATGTTTTCCAGAGAGATAGGAGCTTCGAAAACGTAGCAGAATATTCAAGATCTCAATACAAAGTTAATTTTAATTGTATTTCCATTTTATATTTCAAGTATTATATCTTTGAGCCTACCAAATTTCTGTTTATCTATTTTTGAAAGTTGATTGAACAGACATTTAGTATCGAAAGCATAGTGATATTTGTTCAGGTTCATGTTGACAGTAACTGGTTTTGAATTCATGTAAGTCTCGGAAATTGGCCAGCATAAACCAAGGTGATGGCGATGGACCTAGAAAGAAAAAAGGTGTTAGCTTTGGCCTTTGTCTATAAATATAATCTTTATTTGCTTAGAAATTATTTATTTGTGGTACCTACTGTAATCTGCCATACACTGAAATGGGTCCATTTTTCTTCTGTCACATTATGGTTTCCTTTTATTGTCTATCTTCCCCATTAGAATGTGAGCTTCATGAAGGCAGACATTGTTTAGGTCACCTTGGATGTCTAGCACCTGGACACATGCCAGGAATATAATCTGGACTCCATAAAAATTTAATAAATAATACGTTGTTGCAAACAGAAAATAATGTGGGTGAAGAGACATTTTTATCAAAGGGACCATATCATGTAGCAACATGGTATCTTTTGCTCTTAGTGTAATGTGTTAAATGTGTTAGAACATACAGGAGACAGGGCACAAATTGTAATTAATTCTTTCTATATGAACTGTCACTTGACACACTCAATATATTCTGTATCAAGTTAGTTTGGGAGATGGTAAGTTAAACCAATCATAGAACTTCTCAGAGAATACAACAACATGGATTTCTAAGGAGGTGATATGTACCATTACTTTTAATTCTGAAATATATAGGATGCAACCAATGTCCACCAAATCATCACTAAATGATACTATTTTAACATAAAACATAATCCTAGAACTTAAGAGACTGAGGTGAGAGAATCTAGAGTTCAAGACCAGTCTGACACCTACTCAGGCTCTATCTCAAAAAAAAAAAGGAGAGGGAGAGGGGAAATGTGGTGGCACATGAAATAAGGGAATTATATTTATTATAAACCAAAATTGCTACAATTTTCATGCCACTCTTTATTATAAAGTACAAATGACAACATACCCAAGCACGAGCAATCTTTTGCATTACCTTAATTAAACAGCCATTACTGCAGTGCCATACAATTCCTTCAATTTTACCCTCTCTGCAACCTTCAAACCAGGACAAGAGGTCGCTGTGATTCAGGGCAGGCATATCTCTTATTTGAAATGCTCCATGTGGTATAAGAAAGTGCAGTGGATGTTTCTTGCTTCCTAACCCTAAATAGTGAAATTTGCAATTAGCTATATTCTCAGAAAGAAAACGTACCTCTCCAAATTTTTTTTTTTTTTAAAAAAGCATCTTTCAGAAATACAGTTAGCAGAAACTTTCATTGTTTTTTTTTTTGGAAGAAAGAATAATCCAAGCACAAGAAGTCCTGTTATCATTCAATGTGGCATCCTAGGAAACTTTCTTTAGGGGGTGTATGTGGTTTTTAAGCTGACCTTCTGAGTCAGTTATTATAACTGAACAAGAAAAAGGTTTCGCTCACCATATGGGTTTCCATTCACATTTGTTCCTACAAGCTCCAGGGTTTGCTCTAAGAGATCTGAGAGTGGCACTGCACTTATTTCCAAAACTTCAGGCTCATCAGGATGATGCCTTAGTACCAGGGCAACTTCAAATTCATAGTTAACTACAGAGGAATGCCAGCAATACTGTTTGCTGTTTTTCTCTACTGGTACCCAACCTATCATAAAAAGAAACAAAAATATTATTACAGAGGCTTTATTTGAATTGAAAACATGGGTAGTTAATTTTAGTTGTAAATCTTCCATGTTTTCTGTATCTCACATAAACTTTTAAAATCAGGAAAGTTAACACTTTTATTACCTTTATTTTCAATCATAAAGGATTCATTTTTTTTAATTGTTTTGGGAATTAACCTGTTAATTATTCCTCTTCAGAGTGCTCATCTTTTACTAGTGAATTTGCCACAATTCAGTCAAAATTGAGCACCATTCTAAGACACAAAATTAGCTTCTGTAAAATCAGGTTTTCTCTCTAGCTTCTCTCCAGTTTCAGAGAAAATGGGCATATTTAGTAAGTGTCCTACAATCTTTTGAGTTGTTGCAATATGTACTAACCTAATAGATTATATGTTTATTAAACGGTATAAGCTATTCTAATGACCTTCATTACTCATCCCTGACTACTACAGTAGCTTCTTTGCTGGTCAGGTAGGCTCCAGAGAAACCCACCTTCTCATCATAGTTCTAATTCTATTAAGTTTTGTTATACTTCTGCTTTATGATCATTATTTAGAAAAAAACAAAAAACAAGCCCCAACAAACTAAAATTCCAGTAGACTGATGGAATGCAAGGGTCTTTATGATCTGAGCCCATTCCATACTTGTGACCTCAACTTTTATTAACTGTTACAAATAACAGCTGGTAAAATGTATCCATCTTAGAGAAGATTCTAAACTAAAGAGGAAATTCAAAATATGAAATGTTTTCATGTAAACATCATGCATATAAATAAAATAAAGAACCACATTAAAATTGAATTCAGTGATTTCTAATTAAGTGGAACTTTTATTTTTTATAATACTAAAATTGCATTTAAGAAGCAATTTCATGTTACCAGGAATGTGTCCATTTTCATCAGGCACCAGATTCCCATTCAGTTGTTCTATTTCCTTTGCTGGGATCCAGCACTCTGGGACAGGTTTGAAATCCTCTTCCACATTCCAAAGAAATTCTAGAAAGAGAATTTTACTTGTGACGACACTTTAAAAAATAGAAAAGCTGAACAGATACAGATACAAAGGTAAAGTAGCCAAATGAAACCTCAGAATCAGGTATGACACAAATATTCTTGTTCCTGACTAGTGTTAAGAGTGTTGACATTTAAAATTTCCAATTAAACACATCATCATTTTTATGCACTACAGTCTAACTGAAGTGGTCAGTATTTCATTATGTTTAAGTTTATCCTGAATATATAATAAACTACAAATATATATGTTTATATATGTCTATGTTTATATAGATATATATTTATAAATATATAGGGAGAGATAATGTGATTATATGTATATATGCTGTGTATAACAGGCATCTTAATGTAGTCATTAAAATTACTAATTCAACTAGGCTATGGTGGCTTTAATACCTACTCAGTAGGTTGAGCTATGAAGATCAGTGTTCAAGACACTCCTGTCAGAAAAATATCTCTAATTCATCAGCAAAAAGGCTAGATTGGAGGTATGGCTGAAGTAGTAGAGCATCAGGCCATGAGTGAAAAAGCAGAGTGAGATTACCAGGCCCTGAGTTCATGTCCCCCAAAATACTAATTTCCTTTGAAATTTAAAAATTCCAATTGTTTCACACTAAGTCTAAATACATTTACTTATGTGTTTTAACAAGATAAATTCATACTTTAACAGTCACAGAAATGTTAGGAAAGTATTTTAAAATACTTTTAAGAATACTCATACATAAAACCATTCAGTTACCATCTTTTTTCTACTACATGGATATTCAAAAGGATAAAATGTATAGAAGTACCAGAGCAATAGGTAAAACACAAATTTCAGCTAGTATTCTGAAAAGTTTAAAGCAATATCCACAAACCTTTTGTGTTCTCTTTGGAATGTTGAAAATTTTTAAATCTTTTTTCAGCTTGTTTGTTGGGTTTTCTGTCTAGTCGAGCCCAAAGGTATGGCTTATCTAAAAAAGTAATAGAAAGAAAGTATAAGATGCAAACAAAATTTATATTGAGAGTTTAAAGCAGAATATTCCAATAAACAGTAGTTATCTCTCTAAGAAAAGAAGCAGTCATAGAAGAGAAAGGGAAATACGCAGTCCAGGATGTGTAGCACCTAGCAGGACCTATTGTTATGAGAAGACTTGCTTTGTTTAGTGATAGGGATGAGACAAAAAGTTAAAACATGATCCTTTCATAAGAACATTCAATGTTCATTTTGCTAAGTATTTCGTCTAAGTATAGGAAGCCTCCAGTAACAAAAATGAGAATGTGAGCCCGGCGCCAGTGGCTCATGCCTGTAATCCTAGCTACTCAGGAGGCTGAGATCTGAGGATCATGGTTCAAAGCCAGCCCAGGCAGGAAAGTCCATAAGACTCTTATCTCCAATAAACCACTTAGGAAACTGGAAGTGGTGCTGTGGCTCAAGTGGTAGAGCACTAGCCTTGAGCTAAGGGCTGAGGGACAGTGCCCAGGCCCAGCATTCAAATCCCCCCCCCCCCCCTGCCCAAAAAAAAAAAAAAGTATTACAATGTTCTAAGAGTTAATTCTGACAAATCTGAAATTAGGCTATTTACATTCCCACTGTTGGTGGGAAGGTAAAATGGTATAACCAGTATGGAAAATTCCTCAAAAATACCTGACCCACTTTCTGGATTGAGACCAGAGAAACTGTAAGGCAGCAGCACTTCAGGAAATACTCAATATACCCCTGTTCATCTGAGCATTGTTCACAATACCCACAAGACAGGAACAATCCAAATGCTTATCTGTGGTGAGTGGATCAACAAATGTGCTAAAGAAATACAGTGTAATAACATTCAGCCTTTAAAAGGAATGAAATTCAGAGACATGCTAACAATGATAATCCTGAGAACATCATGCTAAGAAAAACAGGCTAACTGCCTATAAGTAGTCAAATTACTAGATAGAAAGAAATCTGATTACAGGAGCAGAAAGAGATAGGGTAAGAGGAGTAGATAAGGAAGTTCCCAGAAAATGAAGAGTTATAAGCTGGTACCAATGGCTCACCCCTATACTCCAAGCTGCTTAAGAAGCTGAGATCTGAAGTTTGGGGTTTGAATACAGCATGGTCAGGAACAACTGTGAGATTCTTTATATTTCCAATTATCTACCACCAAGCTAGAGGTGGAGCCAAGGCTCAAATGGGAAGAACATCAGTCTTGAGCAAAAAAGTGAATTGAAAATTCACCAGGCACTGGTAGCTCACGCCTAATCCTAGCTACTCGGAAGGCTGAGATCTGAGGATTGGTTCAAAGCCAGCCCAGGCAGGAAAGTCCATCAGACTCTTATCTCCAATAAACCACTCAGAAAACCAGAAGTGGCACTATGACTCAAGTAGTAGAGCGCTAGCCTTGAGCTGACGAGCTGAGGTACAGCGCCCAGGCCCAGAGTTCAAGCCCCACGACCAACCCCCAAAAAAGAAAAAACTCAGAGGTGCTGGACAGTAGTGGCTCATACCTGTAATCCTAGCTATTCAGGAGATTGAGAACTGAGGGTCGTGGTTCAAAGCCAGCTCAGGCAGGAAAGTCTGTGAGACTCATCTCCAGTTAACCACCAGAAGAACTACAAGTAGGTCTGTGGCTCAAAGTGGTAGAGTGCTAGCCTTGAGCAAAACAGCTCAGGGACAGAGCCCAGTCCAAGTTCAAGCCCAAGTACCAACACCAAATGATAGTTCTGGAGTTCTGGAGACTGATGATGATAAATCGTATCCCAACACCACTGAGTTGTACATGGTCTTATGACAAAGATGTAGCTGAGGGCTAGTGGTCATGCCTATAATCCTAGCCACTTGAAAGGCTAAGATCGGGAGCAATGAAGTTTGAGGCCAGTCTGGCATACAGACAAAACCCCTTCCTCCTTAACAGTAGCTTGGGACAGTGGCTCAGGCCTTTCATCAGAACTACATGGGGGGGGGGCAGGGGGGGAGCTGAGATTCAGGACAATTTCAGTTCCAGACTTCTATGCAGAAAAGTTCATGAAATTCCATCTTAAAGAAGCTGGACATAGCGGTATACTGCCATTTTCCTGGCTATGACTAGAAATCTAAAATAGGAAGATCACAGTTCAGACACATGCCTGAATACCTCTGAGCCAAATTCAAACCTGAGTTTGTAAGCTCAGGATCACCAAAAGCCAAACTGGTTAAGATGGTAAAGTTTACTATGTATATTCTACTACAGTTTTTAAAAAAGCATTTGAGAAGACATTTTTCTGATACAAAGACCATGTCCAGATGCTTATGGTAATGTCATTATCCAGATAATGTCATTTTCCTTTCTTTTCAATGCATTTTCTTCTTAATACAAATAATTACTGTTTGACCTATCTTTTTTAAATTTTTTTTGTCAGTTATGGGTCTTGAACTCTATCTAGGCTCTGTCCCTTAGCTCTTCAGCTCAAGGTAAGCACTCAACCACTTGAGCCACAGCGCCACTTTGATTTTATGGTGGCTTATTAGAAAAACAAAAATCTCAAGGACTTTCCTGCCAGGGTTGGCTTTGAACCACGATTCTCAGATCTCAGCCTCTTGAGTAGCTAGGATTACAGGCGTGAGCCACCGGTGTCCAGCTTGACCTATCTCTTTTAAAGCACATTAAAATGAAATTAGAAACATGGCCAACAGAAATAGGAACAGGACTTGGATTATGCAATAAAAACAAGCTATAGAGTCAGGCAAAGATAGATTCCATTAATAATACAGCCATAAACTATATGATCTTGGACAAAGTACTTAATTTAGCTGAGACTCAATTTCCTTATCTGTGACATGGAAAAGCTTCTTATGCAATTAGAGAAAAAAATTCAAGAAGGATTTATAATACTTCCTGCCATTAATAGACAAAGTAAACTTTACCTTTCCTTCCCCAAGAGAAAAACACAATGATATAGTAAATATAATTGTGACCTTTCTGTTTTACTCCTGAGGTATCCAAAGTTTTATGAAGAATTCAGATGTATATAGCTTGTAAAATGACTAAGAAAAGTAAGTAGTATTTATAAGCAAACATTGTAGTTTTGTTTTACCTTTGTAGGTAGTAACATAACAACATGTTCCATCCACTTTTTCTGTTGGAATTGCACTGTGTATATCTGCATCTACTGCTTTGTTGCTTAGAGTTTCAGTTGCCAAAACTTTAAATGGCTTAAAAAAGAAAGAGAAACTGGTTTAGGATAGACAGTCTCTGTCTTTGCACACATATTCATACCTTGTTCAGAATTTCAGTACGTCTAAGAGATCACCTGCTGTACATCTTCTAAGACAATTCAAAAATACTATTTTCTGTGTGCCTTCTCCTCTTTCTATATTATCACCATAAGCCAGATTTTCCACACAGATTATTTACAAATTTCTTCATCTACCATGATTACCTAACACCAGGAACCAGTGCAATGCTGCATTCCTAGCACAGGTGTTTGCTGCACAAAATCATAAAACTTTAAACAGATGAAGCACTGCCCTCAACAGCCATTAGTATAGAAGAGAGCAACAAGGTACCCACTTTTGATGAGATTGCACTTTAGAGGTATATAGCAGAAGTAAAAGGCATAATACAACATTAAGTGTGACAAGCCTACAGGGAAAACTGTGGGAAAAGAAAGACAGGGATGACCTGCTGTTTTACATATGGTGGACAGAAAGTCCCCTGAGAGGCAACATTTGAGCAGCTTTGAAGTGAGGGAATATACAATGTATAAAAACTTGAGAGAAAAGGCCTGAAAGTCAGGAGGTTTAGCTCCTGTTTGAAGAATGCAAGGCAGCCATTGTGTTTGGAACTGAACGAGGGTAAAACCAAATCTCTAAATTATCCCATGGGTGGCTTTTGTGGCTTAACGAAATTATGCTTCAATCACAATTTTAGCATTTCAAGAATAAATCCAGTAAATAATGCACAAAGGCCTCGTCTCTTTTGTAAATACCAGTATTTTTGTTATTTACAAAACTTGTTTTTCAAATAAGGTTTAGTTCAGGTGTTATCTTCCTTCCTCAGGGCACATTTTCAGGGAACAAAGATGATAGATTGAAGATGGCTCATTTTTTAACCTTTGTTCCTTGCAAAGCTAAAATCTACATGCTAACTAGGTAAGTTAAAACATGCAAAAGTATAAGCAAGAACTCATCCATAATCTCATCATTGAGAAACTAATCACAAATAATCTTTTGGAATAAGTCTTTTTTCAGTGCCTTTTTCTCAATATAGCTACTATCAATTTCTATTCTGAACATCTCTAAAGAAGCAAAAATTTAAAAAAAAACAAACTTTCTGGATTACTTGTACCATCTGCTTTGCCTCTCAACTGCCTGATAAACATAAAATGATGCTGTTTACCTACTAGTTCATATCTGACTTACTTTGATTGCTTTTGCATCTATACCTAAATACTTAAGATCACAGACTTTAAAATCACCTTAACTCCCCAAGTAATTTTGTCCTTGATTCAGTTTTTACTTCTAAATGTTTAGGTTCATTAGAAAGTTAAAAAAAAAAACAATTTTTGGAAGACATACCACCTGTATAAAGGGAAAATTAAACTGATGCTTTTTATCATTAACAGTGAATTCTTGAATAGAGATTACAGTACTGCAAACCTAAATTTTTGAGCTGTATCAACTGCATTGGTTCACATGTATTTATTTACTTTCAAAACATCCAAGACAATTTAAGAATGCCTCTCTAAAACAAATTTACATGAAGCTTCCTTTTGACAAGTTTTCTTCATAGTTACAAGATATTCCCACATAGTCTACTGAGCATGAGTCTTTTACTTTGATTTTGTATTCAAAACTTTTAACTATAATATCGATCCAGAAGTCAAGAAATTTTGAGCATCTAGATTGTGAAATGCATTCTCTCAGCTAATACAGGTAGAGTATAAAAAAGCAAGATTCACTGGAAGTATATCGGGTGATCCCTCAAATGAGAACTTCCAGAAGTCTATTACTCCCCAAGAGGGTCCAAAGTGGTCCACTAGGCCTTTTTACTCTACCCTTTGATACCATTTCAGTTCTATTCTTTGCACAAGTACTCAACATCTGAATCTGACTTTGTTTTACTCATGAAAGAAAAAATTCTAATATCCTTGCCAATTTCTTTTTTGGGAATTCTCATTTCTGGGAAAATGCTTCTTTGTTAGTCTGAAGTAACAGTGAACTTACAAAGCACATTATACATACTGGTTAATATAGAGTATAAGATGAATAAAGTGGAAGCACTATTTCAAACAGAACCAGATACAGAAGGAAACTTGCCCCAGTATAGTACTCACTACTTTTAATATATAACTGAATGGGGATTTGTTGTTCACCTACAACAGTGGCATTAGGGATATTCTCTGATGACAAAATTGAGGTCTGGGCAAATGGCAACTTTATGTATATTTGAATTAAGAAAAGCTCCTATAAAAGAGATTACTATGGGCATAAAATTCTTAATGAATATAAATGTTCCTTCCTTATGTACCACTCTTTTCTATTAATATAACCAAAGGATGGCACAAGATTGAGTGGTACAAGAAGTTCTGTACCTGTCATCGAAGACCTAGACTACTACTGGAAAAGCAAAACATGTATGTATGAAAAATAACAGGTAGTCAATATCAAAATCCTAAAATTTTTGGATAGGGGAAGCCACTAGTCTAACTGGGGAAACCACTGGCTATGTTAATTTCAGGCTTTTATGGAGGTCTGACTTGAAAAACAAAACACAACTTGATCAAAAATACAGACAAGCATTGAACTTGGTATTTATAGGATAAAATAAACTTTAAAAACAAAGGACTTTACTTTGAAGTTAGAGAGTAGACTCAGCCTAATAAAGGGAGGCCTTAATAACAATCTGAACACCATGCTATTATAATAATGTAAAAGTATTCCTAATTTAGGAGAGGTAAGAGTTTATTCTTCCTAGGTAGGAATACTTTTACATGGGAATATCTACCCTCAATATTATAAGAAACCATTATCGAGCTGACAATGTTTTGTATAGGTTAGGTTTATTCTGGCTTTTTTTAAAAAGGGGACAAGCCAGACATTGGGTATTATCTACAGGGTCTTCAGTAGAACAAGTAATGCCAATTAAGCAGTGCAGTAAGCAGACATGAAATATGAAGAGCTTCTAACGAAGATGATAGCCGTAGAAGGGAAAGATGAGATGTTCAAAGTGAAAACATCAAAGTTAAATGGAAAGCTGGCATGAAATGACTCCAGGGTTCATTCTTTGATGGAGGTTCTAGAAGCTGGGGAATAAAAAAAAAAAAAAGCAAACAAAAACACAGAGCACTTTCTGCCTTGCAGGCCAGGAAGGCCAGTGGTAAAAGTGAAGCTGGTGAAATTGATTACAAATGCACGTGGTTGTGGTTATCATCTGAGTTGGATCCACCCAACTGACAGCTGGACGTTGCGCTGGCGGAGGGCTATTTGTTAAAGAATCACCCCGATATACACAGGTTACATACTCAACCACGAGCATTGCCAAAGGGTCCAGTCTGACTATTTAAGAGCTGACCGTCCCCCGCCCCGACACCCACCCAGGAGGTGCAATTCACCACGGAAAAAAGACGTTACTTGGGGGATAGGGTGCACATCTGCGGGGTAAAATAAGGTCGCTGGCTCCCACCCCCACCCCAAATGCTCACAAGGCTCCTTCTTTACATCTCAGCAACAAGGAGCAGCTCCGGACGCAGGCGCCCCACACCCCAACCCAGTCCGGCCCTCTGGGGCTCAAAGGCGCCCGCATCGCCCCGGGACTCGGTACCTGGTGTTCCCTTTTGGCCGAGGGTTCGTCTATCACCTCCGTCACAAACACACAGGGCATTTTCCGCTGCACGGAGCCCAAGCGTCGCATCATGGACCCAACAGGCAATACCGACAGAGGCAGCGCCCGGGACGAACGAGGAGCAATCCTGGCCTGGAAGAAAAGTCCTGAACAAGCGTGCTAAAAGCAGGCTCTTCACCAGAGGTCCCAGGCGCCGTAACTGACTTCCTCAAGGGCCAACCACGAGCAAGGGGCGGTGACAGTGTCCCGGAAATGGCCGCCTGGCCGCGGAGCTTTGCGGGAGTTGTAGTTCAGAGCGGAGGCGCCAGGGCCTGATTCCTATGAACTTCCCTCCCCTTCCTCTCCTCTGGGGTTGGATGACAGAAACAGCCAAGATCCGTTTCTGCTTGAATGTATCATCTGTTACCAATAGTAACCGACTGATGACACATCGGTTAACCAGTAGTAACCGATAATACTTTTGAAAATGCCAAGTTGTAAGCGATGAGACACTTGATTTAACGCCTTTAAGGGGCTCTTGCTGCTTCTTTTTTAAATAAGTTCATGGAGGACGCACTGGAGAGGTCCAGAAAGAACAATAGATATAATTCCCTGACCCCCAGAAGGAAAACAAACAAAAACAAAAATGAAAAAAAAAAACCACCAAAAACGGAATTCCCTGGAAGAATGTTAGAAAAATGCTACAATGAATACACCAGAGAGAAAAATAAAGTTTACCATATGGTAAAAAGTAAGTTTAATAACAATGATTAGCCTCGGATCTAGATTTGACTTTACCTTGTCCCCTGCTTGGGGGGAAAAAGCCTAATTCTCATTTCTATAATTATGCTGTCACCATAAATCCAACAGTCCAACTTTTAGACCTTTTGAAACTATCTCACCTGAAGGAATCTATATATCCATAATTTTCCACAGGAGAACACACCAAAATTTTAACACCCTCTCCCAAACCCCCCCAAAACCATAATTCTTGCTCTAGAAGCTACAGAAGCTTCTAAGCATTTTTAGAGACAAGCATCCAGTAACTTTTTTGCTCCTCAGAAGAATCCCAAAAAACAACAAAAAGTCAAGAACTAAATACTTTTGCAACTATCAACTGTCATTTCTCAAACTGTCATAAAATTTTCTAAGTCCAGTATTCTATCATTTCTCAGAAAAGGAAATCTTCCAGAACATTCTACTTGCATTTTGAAATGTAAGTAACAGGGCTAATTATCTCTCAGAAAACACTATTTCTATATTTCAGTTTCCTCATTTCCTGGAACTTCTTAGAAGAAACAAGATTCCAAACTAGGAGAAAGACACAGGATATATTCACAGTTGTAAATCACACTCCTGCTCTGATAGGGAGCAGCCATCAGCTTTACATGATAATCATATTCCTGAAGAGCCTATTGGCCACTGTACTTAAAACAATGTTACAAGATTATCACAAATCGGAAGAAAGAGTTTAGTGTTCTACCATGCTCCAAAAAGGAAAAAACAAAACAAAAACAAAACAAAGCAAAAAAGGAGACTGCCTTGGCCAAGAAAAAATATTTAAAAAATTTTAAACCTGTTCCCAGCTGTGGAGACAAACTTCCTATCACTTTGTTACAAAGTAAAAATAATCATGACTAAAATGATAGATATACCATAAAAGACTGCAATGGAATTCACAACAGGAAAAGTAGACATAAAGTAAAAAAAAGGAAAAAGAAAAGAAGTTCCAAGTTCATTCATAGAGAGACGATATAAAGGTAGGCTATTGAAAGATCTTTGTAGAGGTTTTTCTCCCAGTAGCTCATTTACTTATGAGGTACTTTGTTGCTCCAGAGTTAGAAGGCAAAGCAAATGTCAGGATATATTTATAAGTTTGCCAATATTTCAAGAGTTTAGTCAAATCTTTTTTAAAATCTTATTTCATCTGATACCACCTAGCTTTTTTGAAATTACATTTTAAGCAAACAACTCTGTTCTAAATTTTCATTTGTATCCTAGATTTGTATCCTAAAGCATTTCTTCTGAGAGTCAAGAAATTCAGTACCTTTTACTTAATCAAAATGAGTACATCCACATCTAGTTATATATTTATGTTTGTCTTGATGCTTTAAAATTCCAAATAAAACTACATTGCATCTGGGGTACCAGTGACTCATTCCTGTCAGCCTTGTAACTGGAGGCCAGCCAGGGAAGAAAAGGTCCAGGAACTCTTTACTTGCAGTTAACCATCAAAAAGCTAGAAGTGGTTCAAGTAGCAGAGTACTAGCCTTGAGCAAAAAAGCAAAGAAAGAGCAAGAAGCCCTGAGTTCAAGACACAAAATCAGAGCACACAGACACACACAAAAGTACACTGCAATTTCAAAATACATTAATACATTTTTATGAGTACAATGTCATCTCCACGACATTTTCTAAGTCGGCTACAATGAATATTTTTACTTTCTACCAGGTATGTTGTAATTCTTTAGTAAAGTGGCTAGTATTAAAAACTTCAATAGCTGCTTACTGAAATATCAACATTCTGGGAACAAGTACTTTATATTGTTTTCAATGAATTTATAAAAGTTTCAAGTACTCAAAATTTTTTTCTGTATAAGAATTGATTCCTCCCTTTGTGATGAATGAAATAAATGTAATCAAGCTTCAAGGTGAGCAGGTAGTTCAACTTGTTTTTATATACTTAATATGTCACATCTAAGTGTGATTTTCTGTTAATCCATGGATAGCAGTAAGTACAAATTTAAATAATCTATTTTCTTGAAATGAAGATAGCATATTTATCTATTATCTTATTCCTAGTTTCATTTCCAAACCAGAAATAGATTCTTACCTGTGAAATACTTTCTACTTTTTAATTATGAAGTATAAACCAGTTTATATTCCTTATTCAACCAGAATATGGAAATAAAATATATACTATTTTATTTTTTCACAGTCGTTTGATTAATATAGCAGAATAGGTAAACCACAGTATCCACCAAGGTAGACTAGCCTACAGTTACACATGAGATCATTTGTGATGAGCAAACAATGGATTAGGTAACAGAGGAAAATTCTGGAAGTTTGAGTTTGTATGCTTAGTAGCAACCACTTTCAACATTTCTGCAAAGCTAGAGAAGGTATCTTCTAATTTAAATTTCTTTAAGAATTATCTATCGTATAATATACTGTCAACAGGAGGTCAGTTTTAAAGAAATACTACTGATAGCCTGAAAGACTGTGGAAAAGAAATACTTTTCCTTCCTTACATAGTTCTTATATTTACATTCCTTCAGTTCTTGCACACACACACACATACACACACAGACACACACACACAGACATTATATATATATATATATATATCAGTCATTGGATTAGCAGCAAGAAAGTTGAAAATGGCAGAAGTTGGGAATGACTGCTATTTCTTTTTTAATTCCACATGCATAAAGGTAAATATGGTGCCTCTTAAAGTACTTCACATTCTTAAGCTTCTTAATAGAATGAAGGACAATATGACAATAATTTTCATTGCTGAATCAAAATTTAATGTCTCTCAAAATACTTTATGTACTAAAATTCTGAAGTAAATGTAGATAGAAAGCTAGCTAGCTAGCTAGAATTTCTGTGAGGAAAGCTAGGATAATTCCAAAAGATTTGTTTGAAACTAATTGTATGTCAGTTACACGCCTTTGGCTTTTCCATGTAGCAACTGTGTCTATATTATGGTTTCTGGAGATATCAAATTCCTAAGATTAAAATGGTGTAACATATTGTTTTTGTTAATGTGATTTCAGTCATGTAATTCAAATAGCCAAATTCAGATAACTATCAAATTTACCATAATGTTTCCCTCTTTGAAGTTCATTAATGCAGTTATTGTATTTTTCCATATTAGAAACCTAAATTATAACATGGGATTACATATCACAGAAGGGGAAGGATGTGATACAAATGAATCATCTAAATATAAAGTTAATAAAGTAAGACATTATATTAGGATTAATGAATCTCAATAAACCAAATAAATATAGAAACTCAGTGTTTGGGACTTCCTGTTGATGCCAATGAATCAAATGAATAAAGTTATGCATCTTTTTCATCTCTAGTAATAAAGCTGAAAGAAGTCACCCTGTTTACATAAATTAGATTCACTGTACTATCTTTTACCTTTAGATTAAATTCTGGAATGATAAAACTATGTCTCAAGTTGATAGTTTTCTTTATTTTTCCACTTGTCCTCAAGTGGTTATCACAGTTTCCAGTATGTGATCAGATAAATCCCAAACCAATAACCACATATATACATATATGTATATATATATCACATCATTTTTACAACTATTCTATGGGGAGGGTATTTTATTCTCCTTTTTACATGTGAAGAAATTGAAGCACACAGAAGCTTAAGCATTAATTCTGTTACTGTGGGCACAGTCAAAAGACCAATTTATCCACTTTCAAAATCACTGTGTACTTTGACAGTTCACAGATCTACTTTTAAAACAGAAGAGTGAAGACAGAATTCAGAGAGAAAAATAAGAAACAACTCCAGAATACATGGCAAAGGGGAGAATTTAATGGAATGTTTTTGTTTACTTTTCTACTCTGCCTATGGGACAATGACCTAAGTTTTTCTTAGGTGGAGTTTGTGTGTAAAAGAAAATGGAAATTTTACAGTAATAATAGCCCATTGAAAGAGTTCACATCTACTTTGGTTAGTATAAATGCTGATATACATTATCTATGTCATATATATTATACATACAAGCATATGTATAATATAATATAATTTAAATTATAGAAATGAACACAAGAACATTGTATTCAAAAGTAGTGAAGACCAAGAACCTTGTAGTTGGTGTCATGATGTTCCTAGCATTGTACCACCTTTACTCTCCTATTATGACCACCAAATTTGACAGATTAAGTGTTCTTGAAATGAGTTTATAGAACGTGAGCTTACAGGTCCTTTGGTGTTTTAAAGATTGATTTCAACATATGGATAACTAAAACTTAATATATATATATGTATATATATATATATATATATTGTGTGTGTGTATACATACAATCAACTGTTCATTTTTGTAGGCCAAGGGTATAAAACAAATATATGTTATGTAGCATAATGCAATTACTTAAAATTCCACAATAACATAAAATTTAATTTGCATTCCTTTTCTCAATATATATATA